GCCCTCCTCAGGGACCACACAAGCTCCACAACCCATCTCTTGCCAGAGCAAGTTCTGGATCTTTAAAAAGGGGCTATTCAACTCCAATAGTCTTGTTCAGTCCAGGCTCATGGTTCTTGCCCACATAATTCCCCCCATAACTTAGTAGACCTCTGATATATTTGTTTCCAGTTAGTTCCATGTGCCAATAATGACAAAGTTCTTCCATAGACATAATTCTCAAGCCTGACTTATGTATTTACCTCCATGCTGTTTACTTTTAACTTTAAAAGCTGCACAATAGAATCACTTAGCAGAACTTTCAAAATTGGTCTGTGTCCAGGTTTCAGGGACGCTGGACCCATTAAATCAGAAGCTATGTAGATGGAACCAGGTGATTCTGATGAGCATCCAAGAACAAAAATCTACGCCCTTAATCTGACCTGTGCCACAGGACAGAGCCACTTTTTTTTCCAACTGAGAAAGTGTGCTGGGCCTTTGATGCTCAGATCCTTTCTCAGCTCATCTCTCACTCTCTAGAAGCAGCCTGTTTTTCCTTTCATCCCAAGGGTCAGAACTTTATTCTTTTTCAGTTTTTGCTTGAAAACTAGTGAATATTGTCGTAAGCTCATCTCTTTCTTATGATACCTTATCAGTAACAGTCAACACAACACTCACACTGTGGTCCTTTCCAGCATTTGACCTAGAGCTCAGTAGCCATAAAGTGCACCTTCCAAGTCATCACAGGTGTCAAATTTGCCAAATTGGTCACCACAACACAACACGGGTTTCTGTCTTTCCCACCTCCAATACCAATGTCTTCCTAAGTGTGCCACCTGACTGCTAAGCCAGTGACACACATTTTTAGGTTTTGTTTTAACAGAACTCCACTTCTAGTACCAACTACTGTAGCAAAAACTAAAAACCTCAGTAGTTTAACACAGTTTCTCTCTTGTTCCCATCGAAGTCAAGTGGGTCGGCGAGCAATTCTTCTTAACATCATTTAAGGACCCAGTTTCCTTTCATTTTATGGTTTCACCCTCCTCTGGGTCCTAATAAAATTCTCTCCATTAAGCTCATAGAGAGGATAGAAAAGGCACCCAGCTATTAACTGTGTTCTCCTGAGAAGGCACATTATCACTCTGATCACATTCCACTAGTGAGAGCTACTCATACGGTCCTTCTTAGATACAGGGGGGTTGAGTACTCAGTGATACACTGAGTGAGTACTCAGGAAAACAGTGATATTGGTGAGCCCTAGCAGTCTCTTTCAAACCACTTAATATTTAAGCTCCACAGGATAGGATTCTTTGTCTGGTTTGTTCATAGATGTATCCCTCACACCCATTAACAGAGTCTGATACAAAGTAGGTGCTCAAAAAATGTCTTTTGAGGGCTGGCCAAGTGGCTCAGTTGGTTAAGAGTTGGCTTAAGAGCGTGAGCTCTGAGCAACAGGGCCGCCGATTCAATTCCCACATGGGCTGCCGACAGGTAGCAGGATGGCTCAGCTGGTGTAACAACAAGATTGCCTGTTTGATGGTGGGCTATGCCCACCCGCAACTAAGATTGAACACAGCACATTGAGCTTAGAAGCCACGAGCTGCCAAAGGGCGGCCAGATGGCGACTGGCATCCTCCACAAGGAAGACTGAAGAACAATAGCTTAGTTGGCCCCTTCCCCAATTTCCCAACACTGTTCCCCTCCCCCAATTCCCCATTAAAATCTTTAAAAAAATGTCTTTTCAATGAATAATGAATGAACAGAATGAATCATGCGTATGACACCATATGGCATTTTTTCTATAATAAAGGCAAATGAATGAATTGATAACTGAAAGAATAATTACTTAAACTGCATAGATACTTAGATTAAACATTAAACAGCAACTTTTGGAAAAATCAAAATAAGCTTCTAAGCACCAATACTACACATAAAGCTATTGGATTGTCGGGAAAGTCATGACATATTTTTGCATTGAAAACCATAGAAAAATACATCATGACATTTCTGATGACCCATTACAATGCAAATTCATATATAAGCTGGTTAAATGCACACTAAATTCATCTACTGTAAATACAAAGAAAGATTTATTTAAAATATTAGTACAAACACAGTGGATAATCTTCAAAGAACTTATTATTAAACTGATTACACACCTTTTTGTTAGGTAGAAACTACTTTACCCATATCAGCCTCAAAATTCACTCACATCTTTCTCAAACAGCACAGGCATTGTACATACAGAGTCCTAATCCTGAAAACAAGTTACACACACAACACACACACACACACACACACACACACACACACACACACACTGCTAAAGACCTTACCAGTATGCATCTACCATATAATGCATACACTGATCAAAGTTCAGAACTGATACATTTATGACACCCGCTTCAAAATTATGCATGCTGATGATAATACTTGAATTTTTTTGAAATCTTAAGTCATTATAACAAAAATGAATAAAACAGGGGAAAAAAGCTGGAATAAAAATAACAACAAATGGGGATAACACTCACTTCACAAGAGTTTTTGTAAGGATCAAATAGAAATATAAGAATTCACTTGTGGGGCCGGCCGAGTGGCGTGTTTGTTAAGAGCTGGCTTAGGAGCTGGCCGAGTGGCTCAGTTGGTTAAGAGTTCGTTCAAGAGTGTGAGCTCTGAGCAACAGCGGTTCGAGTCCCTGCCCAAGCTGAGCAGCCGCTGAGCTGCCAACAGGTGGCAGGATGGCTCAGCTAAAA